ATAGCTTTTATTGATTATAATATAATAAAAGTAATAAGTATAATTTAGTTTTAATAAATAAACTTTTATATATTTGGTGATATCTTTTGAGTATTCTAGGAATATTCTAATCTTTATTGTATTATAAAGTTTATTATATCTTTATTCTTTTAGAATAGTTTTGGGGTTAATATAAGTATAATATCAATTCCCCCAGATCTTATATATATCGATATTTGATAATATATTTATAAATATTTTGAATAGATTTCGATTGATTTTATTTATATTTAAACTAATACTAATACGATTTCGAATATATATATTATGTTTAACAGTTTTGTTCCAAAATTCTAATAATAAATAGACTTCTTTCAATATTACTCTCATATTAATTTCTGTAATACATATATTATATTCAGTTAAATCATTTTAATAAAATAATATAACCACTATAATCTCTAATTGTATATTAGTTTTTTATTCTCGGATAGCTTAAAAAAGCTCTAATACATTATTAATTCTAGTAGTAATTATAATTACTTTTATAGCAAATTCAATTTCTTGCTTTTAGACTTTTAGTAAGGATATTATATTACTTTTCTATTTCAATAGAATAATCCAATTTATTTTTATAGTATTATTAATAATAAGAAGAAAATATCTATATTCTTAAATAGTTTTTGGGAAAAGACTAGTAATATCGAAATAAATCAATTCTAGTCTTTTGGATTTTCGTATATTTAGTTAACTTAGAATTCTATTAGTTATTTTTGTAAGAATATATATTTTATAAATATCAAGAATTAAAGAAATCTTAATTGGTTTTTGAAATATAATAACTTTATGCAAATTTTTGATTTTATTAGGATCAAAATAATTAAAGCATTTATATCAAATAAGATATCTTTCCTTTTTTGTTATAGTTAATTCTTCGATTTCCTTTTTTGTACTATTAATAATCTTTATAAAGAACATAAAAAATATAGAATCTTTATATTCTGGTTTTATATATGAAATAATATATATTCTGTTTTTTATTATAACTTTAATAATTTTATTATTCTTATTATTTTCTGGTATAAAATATATCTTTTTAAAATTAAATATATTCTTGAGTTTTATCTTATAAATTCTTTTAACTAAAAGTAAGTTAATTTCTAATCCAGATATATATAACATACTAACTAATAATATTCTTATTTTATTCTTGTATACTATATTCACTATTCCTTATTTATTCGAGTATATAATTCCTTTATTAATTATTATCCTTTATTACAAAATACAAATTAGATTTCTAAATAAAGAATATTAATTAGATATATATAAAGTAATACCAATATCAATATATTATTACAATAGGAATATTTTATTAATACTTTTTTTGATGAAATAATAATATTCAAAATCAGATTCATTATTAATAATATTTTTAATAATATTAAAGCTTAATTCAGTAATATAAGCCTTATACTCCCTACGTTTTTTATCTTTTTGTATTAAAGAAATAAATTGTTTTTTTTTCTATTTATAATTTGAATTAGATTTCAAAAAACATTTAATATAACGAAACTAAAAGTATTTTAGGATTAAATAATCAGATTTATTGCAAAGTTTATAAATAATAATAAATATATTAATCTCCGAGTTTATACTAACCTTATACTAATAATAAAATAGAATATATTTCTTTTCTTTTATAAAGTATACCGAATTTTTAGAGATTTGTATTTTTATCTTTTTGATTTATAGATACTTGATTTTATTATTAATATTTAAAATAAAACTAATAATACAAATCATATCAATAATAACTTTATACTCATTAGGAAAAGATAAGATTAAACTTTGAAAAAATGATTTATTTATATACAAAGCACCAACTAAAATATTTATAAATAAAAGCTTTTATTAAAAATTCTTGAGCTTATTCTATACATTTATAATAGTTATATTAGGAATATTATCAAAAAAGAAAATCTTAATCTTGAAAAAATATTTATCTACTACAATATCATCGATTTTGGAGTATTTAATAATTAAATAATTCTAAAGTTTCTTTGTTATATTATATTCATTTACTAAAGCTTTATTATTATTAAATAATAAATAATAAATATAAAATAATATATTAGTATTGTTTTTAAGGAAGGTAACCTTTTTGTTGATATTAAATTGAATTTTAATAGTAACACCTCTACTATTATTAAAAACTTGAAATTTTTTAAAATCCTGAATTAAATCATTAGTTATTATAATTTATACATATTCATATAATATCTTTTTGTATATATAAAACCAAATTTTTTCTCAAAGTTGAATTCTTATTTGATGAGTTTAGTGTTTATAATTTTTTAAAAAAAAAAAAAAGATATACTTAGAATAATTCTTGAATCTAGTATCTTCATTCATTTTGAAGTTTTATAAATAGAAAATTTATATTAATAATCTAAATATAATTTGATAATAAAATAAAAAAGTAAAAGAGGAATTATTTAAACTATACTATCCCAATTTTGAATATATTAATATTTGAAAAAAGAAATTCTCTTTAAAACAAAATAATTAAAAATAGTGAATTTTGATTTGTAAATAATGATTTTTAAAATAATATTAAATATTATATAGCTAGTAATACTCTTTAATATTAAGCTAAAATGAATAATTCTTTTAATAATAATTCATAATTTTCTTGCTTAAGGAAAGAATACAATATAAATAATTATTTTACTATTATTATTTAATAATTTATTTGTTATACACACCTTATATATTAATATCACATTATATAGAAGCTTTTTATTATCAATTTTTATTTTGGCAATATAAGTTATTTAAAGAGCTTTTGGCTTTAATCTTATTATAGAGTTATTAGGCTTATAATTTATTCAAAATAAAAGAGCAGGCTAATGGAATGCATATATTATTAATTATATAAATTAATTGTACTAAGATAAAATTTAATTATAAAGTGGAAGTGATATATGCATAGTAGCTTAGAGCATGTGCTACAACTTCCAACAATACTCTTAATATCGTTTTATTAGTAATAGATTTCATATTGAATAAATTCGAATTGGGCAAAATTGAATATATTATGTATCCTTATTTGAATAGTATATTTAATTTGGGATAAGCTAAAATAAAGAAATACTATAGAATAATTAATAATATATCTATATATATTATAACTCTTATTCTACATTTATATTACAAATGAGCTTATATTAAAAAAAATTAGAATTCCAATTGATATTCTAGAGCTAAGGAATTGATAATATCTTTATAGGATTTATATAAGCCATAAGGTTTAGTTCTATTTGTTATTACTTTAATTATAAATACTAATAATCAATTTTTATTTTTTATAGAAAAATAAGATAATACAGATCTAATATTAAAGGATAAATATATACACTATTACTCTCAACTAATTATTAAGATTTATAATATAAAAAAATAATAAATAAATAAACCTTAATAAAGATTATACCCTAATCTTAGTAAACTAGTATTGGATATATTGTCTATTCCTACTATAATAGTTGAGTTAGAAAGATTCTTTTCAAATATAAAAATATATATTATAGATTTTAGAAATTATATAAATATACAGATTATTAAAGCTTTAGTATTATTAAAATCGTTTTACAAATTAAAAATATAAGGAATAAAGGATTTATTAGCAAATATATTAGAAAACTAAGGGTTTTTATATATATTATAAAAAGTCTAATAATCTAGATTAATTGAACTACAATTCAGCTTATTAGAGATCCTAAATAATATAAACAGACTATTTAAAATATACTTAGACTGAAGCTTGATTGTTTAATTCAAATTATCTAGTTTGTCCTATAGTCCGGACTATTGGACACACTGCCTTAGCCGGACAACTGCATATGCACGGATACCATAGAAACAGCACGCATTTAATATTACCCACACTGGCCTTTTCTCATCATCTCCCCTATCCTCTGGTAGTTGGATTTCTATACTCGGTGACTCATTAGTTTGTAAGTAATTCAGTCTATCTTCAGGAGAAGAATATTCACACCTGCAATGGAAATCCCCTTCCTAATATTATCTTACGTTAAAGAGACACGCATCCCGATCACTATATGCTCATGGCTGCCATCTGACATATACAACAAGCCGATGTTACTTTTTTTTGTTCTTTTCTCGATAAATTTCGCTTGAAAATACACGGCCCCAAAGCTTTTGTCACGAAGCCAGAATGAATAAGACCGAAAACTCGACTAAGGCAGACCTACCGTAGGGAATGCACAACCCCGATCAATTCCCAGATAGCGGGCTCACAGCTCGGTTTTGCGTCGCTGGAGGCTTTTGTTATGCATTCTGTTCCTTTGGCTGGAGTTGAGATGAAAGCAAATTTTGAAGGCAAATTTTGAGAGCAAATTTCATAAGTTGTAGGGCGGTTGATCATCTAATGCCGCTTAGTAGAGGGGCTGACATTTCAACCATTCGCTTAACAATATACAATGAACTACTAGTCGACATCAAAACAAAAGCCTCAATCTTCAAACCCTTTTGATCGAATGAAAGCTTCTAAATTCCAGAAATCATTACATCACATTCCGAATACATACAGCTGGGACCATTTATTGTCTAGATTCTGGAGCTTCACCAAATACATTTTTCCATGATACATTGAATGGGCCCTAGATCTAACGCTGAGTACCTGGGTACCTATTGAGATTAGATGCTAGCCCTAACTTCTCTGCCTTGCAAGAAAAGATTCTTAGAACCCCAAAAATCGCCCAAAGAGGAATCTCACGTGAAGTTCAAGGAGATTTCTTAGGGAACTCTCTGAACGGGAGTCGAACCGGAAACGACTTAGCTAGTGGGAATCTTCGAATGCACAATTCTCTCGCAACGCATAGCTGTCAGATGTTGCTACATAATTCTTTCCTGAGATTGGCAATCTGATCAATCATCTCATCTGTGGTGACACTCATGTTATTGATGTATTTTCCAAATACGTTCCAAACCTCGAGTTACTTGTGATCGCTCTCCTCAGTCGCGCCAATATTCTTCTTGAAAGCCTTCAGCATCCCGCCATGTTCTTTGAGTCTCTTGAACGACTGTCTGACCCTCTCCTTGTCCCTGTCCCCAGTTCGAAGCAATTTGACCTGAAAACAGTGCAGTACAAGCGCAGCAAGTCCAGTAGCGACAGAGGAGCCGGTCTGGTATTCGATCTTCTCATCCACATCCTTTCTCTCTATGTCGGTACCGGGAAATGTGAAGTCTAAGCTTTTAGGATTGGCAACATCAGGGTTCGCCATACCTTTATCGGTAGCAGCTTCAATTCGAAATATACTGCCATTGGCTGCCGCTCAAGGAAAGCTTTTGTCCTTAATTGGTCCTCCATCACTGGCAGAACAAAACATAAGAATTTTTTTCTGGCGAGCTTCAGAGATAGCTGCCTCGAGACTCTCTCTAGTTTTATTGTCAGCTGGTGAGGGTATAGTCCAAGACATGGGTATGATGTGCACGTTCTTAGCTACTGCCTCACGAATGGCCCATGGGAATGTTAGCGTTATTCCAGTCCAGAGAATGTTTGGCGACTTACCTGCGCGGCACTTAAAAGGTTCAATCTGATGTTGGCCACCATGCAGATGACCATCTGGCTTCAGCACATAGAGTTGGGCTCTTGGGCAGATCCATTATATTTGACTTGTCATTGCTGGTCCATGACTGAAGCTAGATATATAATAAGGAGCTACATTTCCGTCTCGAATACGAAAGCTCTGTCCTCTATTATGCTTATTCTTTAGCCTAGTAATATCGATACCGTCATCAATGACTGCTACTCTAATGGCCCTTCTAATGGTACAGCAGGCTCGTCGGGATTAGCTTGTAAGAAGTTGCTTTCGGCCTCTAAAACAAGCGGTGTGAAACTGTCCATACAGCCGATCCACTCTCGCTGCGATTGTCAGGGGAGGTCTTTATCGGCTGTCCTCGTGTCTGAGGATGTATTTCAACGCACTTTCTCTGATCCGTCGGTAAATATTTGGATGTTATCACGCAATATTTTCGTTCATTTTTTGAATGAGTCAATATCAGATGAATTTTTTAATCTTTTAATCTAATTTACTATATCTTATCATACTCTTAAACAATTACTAGCCTCATATTTAATTTATTGTATTTATTGTTTAAATGTTGAAGTGGTTATAAGAGAGCTTGAAAACGTATATAATGTAAGGGCATACACAATATAGGGATATTGGTTTGCTTTATTCACCTTTTCTCGGAAATACCTGGTTAAATCGGGTATAAGTATATTAAGCGAATTACAGCTTTCGTATTTCTATCTTCATTTTTCTTTCTGAAACATATTTTTTTTTAAGACAATAAATCTCGAGCACACGCCGGTTAATTTCAACTCTTCGATTTATTTCCCCAACGATCGATCTCATTTTCTATTGCTACCAACAAAACAATCTATCGGACCAAACCTCGAACACAATTCAAATCTTCAATCTTCCTTTTTAATAGTGAGTCTCGTTCTTTTTAATCAAGTGGTCAAGGAGGCTCTGCTGACCATTGTAATTATTCAATCTTCGACCAAACCTTTGAAGATGGATGAGCTTGAACAAGCAATTATAGCAGATTTAGGTGTGTGCTACATCCAAGTTCTATGGAGAGGATCGGCCGAACCCGGCGAGTGTAATTTTCGCGGACTAATTTGAATAGACACCTGTCGGCCCAATATAATAATGGATTGGGATGCGGAAGTCTTAACAAAGGAGGAGCAAGACCCCAGTGAGGAGAAGCCATATGCCAGTGCATTAGGCTTCATCGGATTTGTGTCAAGTTTCCCACCATTGCTTCGAGGAGGCAGCTTGATGAGCAGCTATCAGCACCGACTGACAGAAGCCACTTCGCGACTTCCAACTCATCTCAGTCAAATACTGGCAAACCTGAATTGAAAGACCCCAGTATGATTTCGAGCGGAGAGCCACCAGCAGTTACCACATCTATTTTCTGCGACCCCCCAAAGATTTCTCGCCCCCTCAACTGGGTTAATATACCTATTGTGCTACCAACATTTCGAGCTCGGTGCCCGAACAATCTGGTAAGTCTGGTCCCAAGTTTTACGATCTGCGGCGTACTAACATACTTGCAAAGTTCACTGGACTCTACGATGAAACCATAAACTTCCACCAATATATAAACCTAATGGAATCAAAGCAGCAGTCTACTTCGATGACAGCCCCGCCAAATTGTCCCAAACCACACTCCGGCCAAAGTGACCCAAGCCAAACCCCGGCCAGAACCTGGAGAATTTTTGGATAGATTAAGTGGTGATGTTGTGGATCGGGCCAAAATCTGGCCAAAAGCTGGTCAGGGTGGGAGAGGTTAGATACCTGAGGTCTTTGTGCAGCGGGCCAAGCCTCGGGCGACACCAAAAGCAGCAATTGGAGAGGTTCAATGATATCTTTATGAAGTAGGCCGCTTATTGGCTTCACATGGCAACGATAGTATTTATCTTTTATGGGACAAACAAGGGGTGGTAAATGTTAGCTTGCATTGGTACCCAGACAATGGATGCCAAGTTCTGGCCACTGGATATCTAGAATGGTTGGCCGACAGTTGGCAATACGGGGCGATGATATAATTTCTTTTCTTTCTTCGGGGCGGAAACAAGAGCGGCGCTGGTGAGATTGCATTGCTATCTTTATGGAATTCTATGGATCTTCTCTTCTTGTTCTTTGGCTTGAGGGAAACTGAGGAGGCCATCACGAATCACGATGTCCACTCTTTCTTTAGAACATGTTTACAATCTAAAATATTTTAACAATTGAATGATCTGATATTATTGCGTGCGTCAACATACAGCATACCTGGTTTGAAGAAAGAAGTCGTTCAATTGTGACAATGAGGCAGGAGTATCACGAGGGACCATAGCCATTGGTATAAATAATGTGGTAGTAATCGACAAATTCATTGGAGTTGAAGGAATAAAATAAGATTCACATGCATCATCGTAATTCCATCTACTTTTTTGCGTTTCTCTCAAATGCCTGGTTGTTTGATATTTCTTACTGTTAAATGAACATCGTCCAGTGTGGTGACTTCTTTCAGTCTTCGGGAGATGTAACAATTTGTTTAACGAATGCATTTTGCGTTTATTAGCGGCGGCTCCTCACCAATTTGAGTCTTCCTCGTCATTTAATGAGGCTGAGGAAGAGAATGCATGAGGTTATTAGAGCAGGAGGGAATTATAACGTTGTGTGGTTGTGTACTACAAGAAGTCACAAACATCAAAACAAGATAGTGTACAAGACGGAGGAGATAAATGGTATCATTGCATCGTGTATAATCAAGCCCGCAGAAGCAACCGTAGAGCAAATTATCTAGATACATTCTTCAAAACTACAATATAAAACCAAGCCATGAATAATGGGCCGGCAACGACAACGGCGAGACTCAAGGGACAAGTGACCATCATCCCATCAACATGTAATTGACCACAAAACCCCAATTCCATCCAGAGATGGACTAAAAGAGAACAAATGAAACCGCCATATAACCGAACAACCACTTTGAAAACAGGTAGCATGAGATAAAAGAACCCCCATCAAGCAACCAGCAGTTGTCCAATTAGTTTTAAAAAAACAAGGAGGCAAAGAAGCATCCAAACACCCGCTTGAGAGTCAAGTCGCAGCCAACTATTCATCATCATCAATCTCATCAACAGCAACAGGCTTCTTTCCCTTTCTATCCTTCTTTGGAACCTGAACACTAGTAGCCAAAGACTTCGAGCGTTTCAAAACTGATCGTTCATCAAAATCATAGAACTCTCGTCCATTTCGATTCCAATTAGACTTGCAACCACCGGGTGCTCGATGAATACCATGGACAGAAGCAAGTTCTTCCGAGATGTGCTTCCAGAGAGGAGCATCGTAGAGTTTGACGAGACCGGGGAGCTTAGCTTCGATTTCTCGACGCTTGACAAGACATTTGTAGAGCTTGAATGTTTCGTCATCGGTCCAGGCGGAGCGCCGAGGTTTACTGGTAGGACCACTTTTGCGAGAAGATCGAGGTGTTTTGCGAGGTTTGGAGGATGCTTTGCGAGGACTTAATGAATGGGGGGAGCCAGATGCAGTGATTAAGGAAGAAGAAACTGGAGCAGTAGTGACTGAGGTAGACGAAGAAGCAGGCGCGCGAACAGATGATTTGGTGATAGACTTCGTGAGCTTCTTGGTCGGTCGACGAGTAGGCTTGATATAATCTTCATCATCGTGAGACCCGTAATCGTCGTGTTCTCGCTTTCTATTGAGAGAAGATGGACATGGAGTGGTATGTGATGATGCGGGGAAGATATGTTTTCCACTGGAAGATTGGCGTGGAGATAAGATGCTTTTTCCACCAGAATAGATCATTTTTGCAGCTGTCTTTTGCTGAGAAGGTGGTGGTGTAAGTTGGTTGTTGGTACCAGAAGATTCGTTGTTATACTTCTGCGGTGCGTCCTCTTTCAGGGAGGCTTCGATGGTAAGAGCGAGCTGTTGTTCGTAGGTGAGTTCATCGAAGTTGGTAACTGACTTCTCGATATAATCTTCATCGTCTGAATCGTCGTCATCGGAAATATTGGAGATGCTTCTAACGAAGTCCTCTGGCTCGGATTGGTAATCAGAGTAGTCGGCAACCGAAGATTCGTACTCAGGCTGATTGACAAGTTGATCAGTAACAGATGGTTCACACTCAGAAGCTTCCAGCTCGGTAGCATCTCCAAGGAATTGTTCTTCGATGGGCACTTCGTCCACTTTTGCAAGTCGGGCATTGAGCGCTTGCTCTACAAGTACTTGAGGGTGTATTGCTGCATAAGCAATGGGCTTATTATATGGGTGCGCACTCTTGCCTTTGCCACCGGTTGTAGGGACTTGCGTCTCGTATGCAGCAGCATCTTCGTCGTCTGGGTTTATGTGAAGACGATATGCGTGATGGAGATCTTGGCAGACTTGATGTTGTGTTAGCTCCGGATCAACCAAGGCTTCGTTAACTAAACCATCGGCTGTGCAACCAAATTGGCTAAGATTCTCGTTCAACCACTGCACTCCGCCGTCCTGAATATAGAAGAAGGATGCCATGACAGACAAAGCTTTTTTTGCAGAGTCCTCGTCCATATTCGCGAAGGAAAATTCGGTAGGCTTGGTAAACATCATTGTGAAAGAAGGGGTATTGATTACAATTGAGAGCTGTGAAACTTAGAAATTGGTATGTTCGAAATGTACGATTGAACGGTCAAAGGAAAGAGACATCCAAGAATACAAGGAGAGAAGGATATAGGTAAATTCCTACCAAGTACACGATGAGTTTGAAGCTATCTTCAGACAATAGAAGGTCTATTGACTCTATTGTTCCCATTGACATGCTCAATTAAGTGTTCGTCATAATCGTAGCAAGAGCAATGACAATAGGAAAAATCTGATTGTCCAAAAAAACTCTGCAACGACAACAGAATTTTCTCGCTACTGATTATTGGGCTCAGGAGTGAATTCACCTTACAGTACAATAGGAAAACTTTGCCGGTAAGACTTTTCCCGGCGAGGCGATTTGAGCAGAGACAACCTTGATAGAACAATAGAAACTCCAGAGGCAGATTCACTAGTATTGCAATTTGTATTGACTTCGGTCAAAAAGTGAATGGTAAACTGAAAGGTCAATGAAGAATTGCGCCTTTGAGAGATATATAGAAGGTGAAAGTCGGACCGGACCGCATCACATCGCATCATTATGATAAGATGTAATATTGATGCTACAATACCTGCCTGGGATAGTTGTTATGATAGTATTGAAGACCATGATATACTAAAAGGGGGTGATATATCAAACCGACATGGTACACCGAACAGAGATAGTATGTCAAAAGGAGACATTGCATCGGAGGGAGGTGGTATAGGTATTGAAAGGACAGAAATATAAGAGGACTAATCCAAAAAAGTGATATGAATACTCAGACTTCAAAAAACTATGTAAAAGCGTACAATTCAATTGTAAGGATCTCAGGCCGTCGAGAATGAACGATGGAGGAGCTCGAGAAGGGTAGAGGCTGTACTAATCACGTGCCAAAAATCCACGTGATCTCGCCCACTTTCGACTTTCACATGTTGCTCGAAAAGACGAGACAGCATCCACGTAAACCAGAGCAAATACATCAAGAAAAATTACTAAGATGCCTGTGACTATCAAAGCAAATGTCAAAGAAAAGACAATTCATACAAAGCTACTCAATCAAGATGATTTTGCAACTTTTGGGACTGTGATTCAAAACCCCGCACCAGCGGTGATCCCATCATCAACGATCAAAACCTTACCACCAAATGCGGTACAAGCCAACCAAGGTACCGCGCTCAAATACATAGATGTCACGCATATGAAGGATTACTACGGGAGCGCTCCTAGTCAACGGGTCGCGAATGCAGTCATGAACATGTTTGTATGCGCACCTCGCTCGCTTCTCCCGTCTCACGATAGCAATATCGGGGGGTTATTCCCGGTCACCATACTTGAAAGACATCCTTTCACGACTCAAACATTCATACCTCTCGGGATATCACCCTCGGAGCAAGAAGATGTATGTTACTTGGTTGTCGTAGCACCGAGTTTAACGCCGTCATCAGTCGATGAAACCTTACCTGTCCCCGTTCTCTCCCCTCAAACAAGCACGAGTGATGATAATGTCGAGAACCTGCCCGGTCGCGGTTTACCGGACCTGAATAGAATTCAGGCTTTCTTAGCGAATGGTTCACAGGCGGTCACTTATGGGGCGGGGACCTGGCATGCTCCGATGGTGGTCGTGGGGAAGAAGCCCATTGATTTCGTCGTGGTGCAATTTGCAAACGGGGTAGGAATTGAAGATTGTCAAGAGGCAGAGCTGGAGACAACGGATAAGGATATATGCGTGGCAGTCCCCAAGTTGTCAAGAAATGCGACGTGGAAATTATGAGTGCTTTCGGGTCTAGATCTCGATTTAGAATGAACGGGTACTGCAAAATGATGTTCTTGTTTGAAATAATTACAAGTGAGATCTTCAAAAAGTATCTACGCCTCATGGATTTTACCACCAGTCCCGTTCTTTACGATCCCGTGGTAGTAAAGACGTTGATGCACATCATCTCCATTGCCTTGGTAACTATTGATCGTTGTTGCTTTGGATTCAGGATAAAGTAGCACCACCGTCGATGAAAGTTCAGGTATCTTTGGTATTTGATATAGGTCGGCGACCTAGACTGTCGACCACGATATGTACCTATAGAGGTCCCCGATACCTCTGCAATGGAAGACTACATATTTTCACATGTACATAAGAACTATGAGGATAAATACAATGCCGTCCCAATAAGGGCAGCCCCCCAGATCTCGATGATTCCAATTGACAATGTATTCCGAAATGATACTCTCAGATGAGATCCGAATCTTTAGAGTCACAAAGTAGTGTTGCAATGCAGAAATACTAAAAATCCGAGCGACAACATTATCGATATTGACAGCTGGAAACGTCGAGTGGTAGAGAAAGAAGGGGAATGTGCACTAATTATCGCAAAATTCACTCGTAAATTCTACCAATAAGTGATACCTGTCTAAAGGTACCCCAGTATCTTTTAGGCACACGAATACCGTACAATGTACTTGAATCGCAAATAATCTGTCTACCGTTTTAAACGCCAAAATAATAATGTCGGCGATGTCTTTAAAAATTGGGGGGAAAACGTGAGAAGAGTGTCCCGTCCAGCCACTCACCTTTTCTCGGAATAGAGGCTAGAGCGGCTCATCAGGTATGTATACATCGAGTAGGATTGTCGGCTTTCCACCTCGTGGTATATTGCTGATACTCCAAAGAAAAAGCAACAATTTCTAGAACCCGTTATGCTTGCTTACCACCTACCAAGTTGTAGATTGGCGAGACCTCTTGTCCAAAAGGTTTCTGCAGATCCTTTCCGCCTTACCGGTTTAGTTTGGCTCTTCTAGGCCTTTTTGAAGGTTTCATTACTACTGTACTTGATCGCATGCTTACCTGTGGGTAATGAAGCAGGTGAGGGGATAGCCAATGAATATAGAAGGCAACGGTCGGAACTGTACATGGCAGCGCAAACTTGCAGACGGGTATGCAACTCGATGTACGCAGAACAACATGATCAGCATTGGACAAACAATGTGCACACGCACACCTTCAGCCACATCTTCCACACCGGTTCTTAAATGGATAGTATCTCGCATGAAGCATGAACAATGTTGTAGTGTCGTTTCCAGGGCGAAGGAGATCTACACGAATCAGATGTGCCAATTGTCATGAGCTGAATGGATACCCCATAATGCAGGAAGCAACGAGCAACGAAAGCATTGCTATCAAAGTTATTCTCGAACTGTCAATTTCCTCTCCTGTGTTCGATGCTTAGTCATGGTGATCAGGGAAATCCACACATGGTAGCCTCATCTGCTTTCTCGCCTTTTTACGCAGCGCCTCATTTATGAAATCGCCAAAATTAACCTAAAAGGGTAAGGTGCTAGGGCAGGGGCTCCTGTGGTTGGACAAGGGGGAAGAGCCGTTTCTAGGTCAAGGCTTAGAACCATAGAAATTCCATACCTATTACCAAACAATCCCAACAACCATGATAATCCGTATCAAGGATGCATAACCCCAGCTCTAAGATCTTGGTACTCATTTTCCATCTTGCTCTAAACGGAGGAAAAGTTTGCGAAGATGGGTACGTATCTGATGTCCGTCATTCAAAGTGTAACACTGAATATGAAGATCCCTTTAAATCACCTTCAGGGTGCCCTGCCAAAGACGAGACTTTCGATCTGAAGATCAATAAACTGCCCCCGTTATCCCCATTTATATCTCAACCTCAATTTATTTTACGGAGATCCCGTGTTTATCATCCCCACATATAAACAGATCGGACTGAGCAGTGGGCGAGCCCGTGATGGTTTGGCGTAGGGCGCTTGAAGTATCTGTCCGATACCGACATTTCAAGGCTATGATGTTTTTTATTTCAAGGTTCTTAATTTAGGAGCAGCAGTCGGTACATCAGTTTCAGAGTTTGAATTGATTGAGCTTACTGGAGATAAAGTTGTTACTTGTCAGAGATATATTGTAGGGGAAGAAGTACTTTCAAGGTTAATATCAGGGAATATCTCCAAGCCTGGAATGCTCCAAAAGCTTCTCCATACATCAGCCTCACTTACCATGATACTACATAATACCACCACTTACCATCTCGAGCCTCAATAACTTCTACACCCCCTCGTACATGCGCCGACGGATAGAGCTGTGAAAGGATCCCGTCACAGGGGTAACCATTGCCATGGGATCCCCATCTCTCGCATATCTGTCTCAAGGATGATTATTACCAAAAATAGCTTTCCAACGGATTTTTGCTTTTTCTCGGGCTTCCATTTCCATTCCTTCGACGGGTATCATACCGACGCTCATATCCGTGTATTTGGGTCCATTGCTGAGAGGCAAAAAAAGAATTATACAAATCTCACATGCATCCTTGAACAATATATATATCAAGGGTTCATTAATTGTGGTGCCTAAATATCTATCCTGAAAGCGAATTTCTGAAACTTTTCTACAGTTAATGCTCCTTACATTAATATGATATCAGGGATAGGTGAGCTGGAGAAATAAGAAGAGTAAACTCTAATACCCCATCTTGGATACCCAAGATCAATAATAGGATCTACATATAGATGGATACGTAGATGATAATTGGAAAGGCCCTGATCGACCAACTGACCCAGCAAAAGTACACTTCCGTGAATCGAGACTCCTATCCGTGTTAGGTAATTCGTCGCTCTTTACACAGGCTGGGGCATGACGAGGGAAAAAAACAATCCGAATGTAACTCTCTTCTATCTGCCCATGTTCTGAACGCCCATATGACATCTATTATATAAAGTCTATCCAACTTTATGCCTAGCAACGGTGCACTACTACGCCATCTGTTTCGGTGCCGATGTGCAAATCTCTGTCGAAAACTTTATCTGTAGGCTATAAGTTATAGCCTATAACATACTGACATTAGCCCTCCAGTATCCTTCATATACAAGTTCAACCCAGCTTAACCTTTGACAGCTGGCAAGCTATTCGCCCTAGCTAATCTAATTCAATACACTAGCGAACGTTTTCTCATCAAATGTCTGATGAGCTAGGGAGTATTCATTCGCTCGCTCGTGTTCGTTCAGACATGGATCAAGGCACTTCCATCTCCTTCTTCCAACTTTCAGCCACTAAGCTTGGACAATGCAATAACAAGCAAGAAAATTATTCCAAATACAAAGTGCAAAACGGAACAACCCCACAAGCGCAGCGACGCAAAAGTAGCTAGACAAGCGAAAGCAAGTGCCCGTAGATCATGGCGTAGGCCCGGAGCAAAGCGATGGTGATTGGATTTCTTGTGCGAGTAGTTCCTTTTTCAGTCCAAGGAGGCGGCAATTGAGGAGCTGGCCGAGGATTTTCCGTAAACGGTTGAGCAGTTGGACTACCTAAGTACCTAGTATATAATATGTACAATATAAGAGAGTCGTTTATACGAAATCAGCATATCATATTCGGATACTGTGAGAAAAATCAAATACATCTCGCTCATAACTTGTTACCTTGGCTTTCGCTACCAAGTATTGGAATAATAATTGGAGATTTCGTTTGCTTTTTCCAGTTTGAACCCTATCCCCGTTCCCATCTCCGTTTCTTCAACGGCTGAATTTCGATCATCGGGACAAGCTAACAGGAACCACTCAAGACAAAAAAGCAAACAAAAACACACTTCAATTCCCTGCACCTGAAACTTCATTCACCGATTCATCTATCTCTTGCATGCTCTACAGTAGCCACAAGATTTACACAAGGTGAGTAATCATCAGCGGGAATCTTTCCGTAGAATTCCCATTCGGTGTGATATGCATCATGTTCGTTCACTTACTTGCTTTTGCTGGGTAATAACACAACCCTGCTTCTATTTTGTCCAAATATTGGATTCGGATTCTGCAATAGTACTGGTACATGTGATTGATATGAGCCCGGGTATGAAATACTGTTATGTTAATTCAGCCGATCATCATCATAACAGCGAGCATCGTCTCAGAAAGCCCAACATCTAAAGGACAATATCGATCACTAGCAATACCACCTCATCCATCACGAATGTCCATTTTTGCAACCCCGGCGGATGGTACCGTACTCTGCCGCTTTCTGTTGTTGAACCACTGTCATCACCATTAAAGTCCCATTATCGTTGTTCCAGATCTCCTGGGACATTTGGGGGATCGGCTTGTATGCTACAGGTGACAAAATATTGAATTGATTTGCTTTCCTTGAATACCGGCAGGAAGGAACAAGAAACATGACCCCCTGAAATCCCGAGAAATTACTTGACCTCACGACGATAAACGTGCCGCTTCTGTTGTACCCTCTTGAATCACCGTATTGTACAACATTAATATCGACAAAATCTCTCTGCACGTCGTGACTGCAGCAATCCCAATGACGGATATTACAACAACATTGGAGAGCCCTTATGAAACATATTAATTCCGCACACAGCAGGATGAAGAGTAGCACAGCATAAAACACGAGTCACGACGTTAATAGTGCCTGCATTGCATGGCCCCTGTCAGCGCCAAGTGTTGCCAGGGGGATATCGGCGACCATATGCTACTTTCCCAAATGGATTTGGTGGTGATTTGCAGATTTGGGGAGACCCGATGGGTTGGATCAAACGTTATGGTTTTGACGAGTAGGATCACGATTTTAAAGCTTTGATACTGTGTGACATTGCGATGAAGGGGGTGATGTGATGACACTGGCAGGGTGAGAAAAGTGGTTTCCCCGGTCGTCTTGGGGAGGGGATTTATTGATATTGGGTTGCGATGGAGACTTCCTGGAGAGTCGGAAGGGCAGATCTACAAAATCGTGAATTACCGTAGTGCTGGAAAATGATCGTTGATGAGATCTATTAGCTGCTGTTGATCATTGATCTTTTGTCTAAGATCACCAGTTGGGGCTGGGGCGGGTCTATTGTATCGAAATTCAGCACTTCATGGAATCTATGCTTCCTTGCCCAAGAAATTCGAAATGTCGGTTGTTTACTGTATCGTCAAAAGCTCTCAGCAAGTTCATCTAGGTCTACCTAGGTAGGTACTCAGAGTCAAGAATATTTGACCCCGGAAGTAAACAAAATTGATTTCGTTAAAATACCTTTGGAATGAGTGAGTCAAATCCCATCAAACAGCTTGTAAACCGTTATTCATCTACCCTTACCTCACCGTGTTCACGGGAGGTACTAGTATAACTTTCCAGCCCGTGAACCTTACTGCTGGATCCGGATAGGTGCAGCGAATACAGAAGAAGATATATGTACGTCTGTCTCTATCTTGTACGCCAACATGCAACAGCCAAGGGAGGAAGGTAAGGTTCCTCGGTATGATCGGTAAGGGCTCTGGTTGATCTCTGTCGCAAGCATTACTTCATCAGATCATTTTGTGGGTGACATCAAGACTTCTTGGGTGGAGATACTGGAGAGTCAATAGTTTTGAAGGGGTGTAGAAAGCTAGTTTTGTACGTACGGACGTACCTAGGCACTTGATGTATAGTAATCAAACAATGCTAAATGGAGGGAGGGTATTTGAGATGAAGCTTGAGCATTCGGGAAAGTTAAAATTTACGAATCTGGACCACAAATGATCACGTTGTATCTATCCAGTTCAGCTAGCTTGAAAACCGAACGACAGAGAGACAGAGATAAAGAGTAATATATTAAATTGCATCATTAGTTAGGCAAAACAGATAGTTATTTCGAATTTTGAATATCGTGTTGAGAGATTCCCACTCTCGGGACTCGGGCGGGAGCGAAAGCGATCTGCAGTGCGGCGTGCCTCCGTAGCAGTTATTTTCCTAGCTCGCCCAGCCGTATATCGATGTTCCACAAAGCAATGCAAATATCGTTTTGTCCCAAATAAAATAATGCGTAAATCATTATCCTTGGAGTTGGAGTGAAACGGAATATCATCTATTCTTCATTGTGTTTATACATACTATATGACATTGTGAACCTGGGAATCCCGACAGATAAACCAGAATCCCAGTCGAAAGCTGTGCCATCCATATCCATATATCTATCCCGGCGAACTGGCCGTGGCTGAGAGAAACGGAGAAAGAGAGGGATATTTGGGCCCGTGTTTTATCAGGTGAGGCATGGAATTCCTCCGATATGAGAGAAATTGACATGATAGATGATATCAGGCTAATAGGATGGAGTATGATGCGCATAAACCATTGCTCGCATTTCTCTATGTATCTGCCTACACAAATCAATAATCCAACAATTCCACATGATGGCGTTTTGGTTGACAGGCACAGAAATAGCATGTGTATTGGGGTCCTCGGCAGCCTATACATTCAGGCGTAGAGTCATGGCATTGAGACGCCCCTAAAGCCTCGCGAACAAAAAGCATAACAGTGATCTCCCAGGGCTTACTGTACTTACCGTACCGACTGAATGGGCGGCGTGATGTGATGTGATGTGGTGCGCTGCGCTGTGAGATCCCATCCCATCACATCATATCGCACCGTTTATTTCCGTCCTGAACTTAGTCCGTCCCAACAACACAACCCGCAACTGAGCACATGGCCGCACAAACACAAGCTGGAAAAGGGGAATTCCAGCGGAAGCAAGCGATGTATTGAACACAACCGAAGGATATTTAAAAATGGCACAAGGCGGATGCGATGGGACAAAGGGAGCGGTTCGGGATTAGGTGTTGTGCCATGATAAATGAATGGGAGAGTGAATGCAGATTGTGTGTTACGAAAGGAGAATGTCTACATGTACTGACTGATGAATGACCCAAGAGCAGAGGAAGGCCGGCCCAGGAAGGGCATGCTGATGACATGGAATATAAGGCAATGGAACCAGGTACCCACGCCTGCGAACAACAAGGCAAAGGTTTGAACTAAAGGATATGCATATTTTAAAGTGCAATCTCTCGGGTTTCGAGAATGGAATTGGGAGGTGCGTATGAAGTTATCATTGGCTAAGGGGAATTATGAACAGCGCGGAAAGGGATTAATGCGGATAAGACCCAGAACAATGGGGGAAATATTGAAGTGATTAGAACATTCCCATTGCATATTTGTTTTTTTTTGGATAGCATCCAAGTAGATGAGATGAGATACCGGTAGCCACATGGCCAGATGACAACGGAAAATTCTAGAGGATGGGATTCATGATATTCTCGTTCTTTATTTCCAGATTGACATTAGTTCGATTGACTGGAGCTTTCATCCCTCCCACGATTTCCATCTCATCAAATTAAAGTTGGCCCACACCTTTGACTGGGCATAGTGGAGTGAGTTTTGGTTGTTAATTGATCTACGACGGGGCCTTTTCTTTTCATTTACTCCAGCGGTCGGTCGGTCGCGTTTTTCCTTATGTCCACTATCCACTGTCCACATGTGAGCCACTTCATGATCTCTTTAGAGTCTCCATCTATCGTGAGGCGATGGCTAGTGGCAGAAAGGAGGAAAGGCCACAATTCCATCATTGATGAAGGGGTTAAACTCGCTTTCGTTTCGCAGCACCGACCACCACCATAGCATGCTCCAATTCCAATAATGACCTAATGTGAATAAACGCTTAATTCAACCAGCTCCACTCTCTTACTTCAAATAGATACAAATATACATAGCACATGACCATCATTGTTCTTCATTGGCTTTCATTGGTATGAATAAAAGTTAAAGATGATGTACCTTGGTACTATTCATCAAACCTGGCTATAATCTTCCGTTGTTATTATTATTTTTCAGCTGACTTCGGAATGGTTCCACAACCCCAAAGCGTTTTACCTTTTGAACCACCATTTCAGATGCCAGGAAGAAAGAAAGAAAGAAAGAAAAAAGCGTGCTGTGGATGCTTGGCAACTTGGTATAGACACTCGTCACTTTTTTACGAACTGTTGCATCGCATTGACGCCACCTCTCAGCCAAAACTACCTGGAAAGATCTATTATGGTATCAACTCTACCGTACAGATCTCAAACAGTTCAATTTGCATTATTGAGATGAATGTCAATTGGTGCAAAGTGTCAGATTTGTTCGTAGGCAGATAGATAGGGAATTATCAGATGGCAGGGCATGGCATGGTGAATCATGCGATAGATGCGATGGAAATAGCTGATATCGAATTTCAAAAGAAAATAGTAACATTTGCGAGAGGAATACCTCGAGGGATTTGATCTAGAATTTTCAATGTATTCCTTTCCTTCACATTTTCCCCTTTTGGACGACGCCCAGACCTCGAATCGCTCAATGTGTTGGGAAGTTGGGAGAAAAAGTGGCAAACTCCCAATTTGTATGAGAAGGATCTCCCGGCGAGCGTATGGTAAGTGCTTTTTTGTTCTCTCCAACCATTTTTGCTTCCCCCTTCATCGCCATATTCGCCAAATCTCGAAACCCTCGGCTCCTCCACTCTCGTCAACATTATGCTGCGATGAGGTGTGTGTTTTTCTTGGGTACGGACTGTACGGTATTCTATTTGGCGTTACACCGAAGTCCACACCCAAGTACCTGAGAAAGATCCCAGCTTCTAACGACACATTTCGCGGGTAACTCCCTTGGTGGAATACTAAGATCCCGTCCAGACTCCAGAGCTCGCACTAGCCAGGTATGATGTTACTCAACTAGGATAAGCTAGGCAATAAATTCCAAATCAACTTCCCCATTTTGCTTTTTTACTCCCTTTCGTAGTTTCGCTCTTCGGTCTTTTAATCATCTTCGTTTTGACGGATTGATTTTATTGGATTGATTTTGCTGTGTAGCATGATGGATTTATTTCCCTTTACCGCTTAGTGGAATTCGCGCTTCATTGATGTTCCGGGGATCATACTCCTCGCATCTTATTTTGATGTTAGGTACTTTGCCAACTATGTTACTAATGTAGCAGTGTAGCACATCCTGGGTTCAGGAGCCATCTTATTTACATATTCTATGTGTAAACATCGAAGACATGGATTGTGACGGTCAAGATGGGGCAAAAAGAGAGTTGAACAACCCGAAAGATTGGGTATTGTGCAGAAGCCTTCCCGCAACGCCAACGAGGATCATTCATCACCAATATATGATGTTACTCCTTCAAGAACCCGAGTTGGCTTAGTTTGCTACTAAGATATGTCTCAAAGCATCAGAAACCCCAAAAAAAGTATTCTTCTAAGCTTTCCAAAAACTTCCTAGGTTCTAATCTATCCCTAGGTTTCCCAAGAGCAAGAGCGGGACGAAACGAATCTTTCAAGGTTTGCACAAACCATCCACTACATTTCCATACGTCTTAAGTCTTCATCTTCTATTGCAACCACCCCTACCACAAAATTCAAAACCCGCCCACCCATACCTAGACCATCGCACAACATCCACTGACCACACATCAATCACGTCCCCGCTACCCAAACAATCCACCCCGGGCCCAATACCCATCCACCCACACCATACACTTGGACTAAAAACACCATTTACCATCATCCCTACTTTCCATTCTCATCCCAGAAAAAGTCCCAAAAAATCTACCCCTACCCTGAGTTTATCCGATCGAAACTGTACAGGATCCGTGCTACCCATACCAAAACACGCATCACCCCTCCCCAGAAGCATCCTCACTACCCCCCTGTTAAGACCTTGATCGTTGTCGCGCCCGCCAATAAAATGTTTTCGTAAGAATCCCTACGTCCCTGGCTTACCTGGAAATCAATGTATATCATTGTCATACTTCCCATCGCCGACTATACTTTACAAGACATAAGCCCCATCCTCAACCCGATATTGTCTTTCCTATTTCAACATCTTCATACCAATCCATCGGCTTCCTGTCCTCAAATATAACTCCAGTCCATTCATCTTCCATATCATCGATAACTAGCATTTGCTTTCATCTCTTTTGAAAGAAAAATCCCTATCTACGCGACTCAGTCACCCATCAGAGCGTTGCGTTTCAAATCATTAAAATCTTAACCACACAGACTCTCTTGGCTCAAGCTTTTTCCCTACTTTCCGCTTCAACTGAAAGGGTCACCCTTCATCCCAAGAAAACTGCATTTTCTCATCGCCACTGCCGCCATCATAAGTCTAGATCAAGAGACTAGATTGAAGCATCCCAAAACCAGAGACCACCACAATATCTAGCGTCATCTCCACTTGTAACATCTTCCTTGAGACTTACAGGACCAGGTACAGCACCGAGCGACAATTCTATAATAAGGGTAGTCGCGGAAACTTTCAGTCGTTGAGCAGCCGTTAGTTCGTGTCCCAGGCTCAGGTACACAGCCAAAATATATCCCTTGATCCATCGTGTTTTTGAAAAACATCCACTTGCTAGTCCGCGGCCCAACCGTGCACTTGAGCTCTTCGACACCTTTTCGAGACCTTGACCGCTCTTGTGGCATCTTTTCACGAGCTTCCGATTCCATCTTAGGGCCGTTGACCGATTAGGAGCTTTCTATATCCCAACGTCTTTGCCCATCGACCTAACGACTGATCATCATCACCTTCATTTTTGATTTTGATTTTCTGTCTTTATCTTCAACTTTTATCATTCAGCATCTAGTATTCTTCAAAATGTCATCATCTCATCGACGTGGGCCTTGGTCGCCAGCCGAAGATTCGTACTTGGTACAACTTGTCCATACACAAGGAGCTTTGAACTGGGTGAGAATTGCACAACTCATTGGTTCAAGATCGCCAAAGCAATGTCGAGAACGTTATCACCAAAACCTCAAGCCAACCTTAAACCACGACCCAATCAGTCCCGAAGAGGGACTTCAAATCGAAAGATTGGTAGGAGAGATGGGCAAGAGATGGGCCGAAATTGCTCGAAGACTTCAAGGACGAAGTGACAACGCCGTAAAGAATTGGTGGAATGGAAGTATGAACCGAAGACGTCGTTTGGTTCTTCGTAGAAGGACATCATCTCACTCACATTCTTTCAACGAGCAATCTGAAACCCTATCATTCGCACGACCAGTTCACTCCCATTCTCACACCTCATCTCGCCACATTGACACCTTTTCATCTCGAAGAATACACTCTTCTCTTCCTTCACCATCAGTATCCGAAGCATCTCGAGCAGAATCACTCGATGGTGCCCCCTCCTTGATCTCAGACACCTGCTCAAACTTCTCCATCTCTCCCAGAGTAGCATCGTCGCCCTCCCTCGAACTTCCACCTCTCTCATCATTCGACCGTCTCAACTCTCGAAGGCCATCCCTCCCACAACTTCAGATTAGACCTAACACCTCACCATACGCATCAGAGTTTGAATCACAATCACTATGTCATCCATCATTAGAAAGAGAATCGTATTACACTCACGCACATTTCAACTCGATAAAATCTTCTCATCACAGCAGAGGCCCGAGCGTTGCGAGTATATCCGTGAATTATCCACACCGTCGCTCGGAGCAACAATACCCTAGTCCCCTACCTCCATCTCCACCTCGCGACTCACATCATCAACGCGAGTATTATATCTCAGGGCGTGCACAGCAACAAGAAGCTCCAAGAGGAGCTCCACAACCATTGACTGCGCCACCAAGTCCTCAACATATTCAGTTAGCACCTATCAGATCGATCAGTCCTGGGAATACTTATTCTCGAGAGGCAAAGGAGAGGGACACGAGGATGCAGCTTACAAACCTTCTACTATGATCGAGTAAAGTTGGATGGGTTTAGAAGATAGATATTTCTTTTGTGTATATCAAAAGTTACTTAAGGAAGGACGGAACTCCAAAAGAATCACAGCATCATTTCATGTACGCAAGCAAGCGAACGCATTTCTTACGTGTCTAATGCCTATATACGGCTGTATATCTTTGTTTTTATATTATAGTTATTGTTTTACTCTACTGTCTACAGTATGGATTGGGAGGCTGCCATCATTTTTATGCATTTGTAGATACCCTGGATTGAATGGACGATGAATGGATGATGGATAGGATAGGATAGGATAGGATCAGATAGTCACAAACAAACAAATCAACAAACAAATAATATAAATAATCAAAACATACTACTTTGATACTCTACTTCGTGCAAATTCGACTGTTACCTCTCATGAGACGGCGATCTGAATGCCTAGAAATTGAAGGAGGGTGAAAGCATAGGCTGTTTCCAATAGACACATGCCATACATTACTGTGACTCTACAGGTAGCTCAATCACTATATTGCGCTCTCATCCGTCGCAGCTTAGGTATAACCTATCAATCCTCAAGCTCCACTAGCTCACAGCCACCTAGCAAATCTCGGACGATGATGAAAATTTCTTCAACTCAATTCGTATTACAGTACTCGTAACATCTTCAACCCAACAATCAAACGATCAAAGCTGCGACACCTAACCCTATCCCAGATGAAAAGTCTAAGCTTACCATCAAGTCTGTCAATACATCCGCTATCAACCAGCTGAAACCACGTCAATGCATCAATGCAATCTTCCATTCAATCCACAATTCTACTCACAATATACTCCACTGCAGACACGCATGACCAGATGTTCCTGTCAATCAAGTTTGAATTTGATTCATCGTGGCTGTTCAACTGCCAGTATCACCATAGTCGGTATCAGTGTATGGTCTACTTCCCATCTTTGAAACTACAACGCACCAATGCATGTTCTCCATGCTTCACGGTAACAGTCCACTGGCATGACCAAACGTTCCTGTCATGATACTGAAACTGGCAGTTTAACGGCAGTGTCAGTGTCAACTCAATCAACATCATACTAATTTGTTGGACAAAAGTGTGTCTCACGCTGAGAGGTTGACATCTTACAGATAAGACTACACCATGCTTAACAACGCAATGACAATCAACTAATCAGTATAGCTTGAGTGTAGAAACTTGCAAGTTGCAGGCCACATACGGTTCCACTCTATTAGGATTGACAGTTCATACATGTTTTGATATCATATACAGCATAGATCAATGACTGAATGTGTGTGTATGCATCTCCTGCCAAGAACGGTATGTGATTACCCCCAGCTTCGTCGCTGCACCGAGTACCCTCTCTGCACTGCAAATCCCCCAGCAACTCGCAAATCATTGCAAATCATCGCATCCGCTTAGCAAGACTGTAACATCCGCTTCCAAGCGCCAACGCAAATCTGCAATTTCCACATTCCACATTCCACCAACTAGTCAACGTCCCCCTTTAAGCAAATCGAGTAAGTATACTTATACACACTACGTGCTATAGCTTCTGAAGAATTCTTTTCAATTTAATCATCCTTCATTTCTTTCTCAGAGATGCACTGCACACAACTCATCTGCAAAACTCGCTCACTCACGCACAACTAGTGCTCTCGAACCCGTTAGCAACCGATTATTCGTTCACTGCAACTCAAACGGTCACACCGAGTACTTAGCCACATTAGCTCCGTGATTCCCTTACTCCTTTGACTCGATTCACTCTAACCCGAAAATCACACCCAAGCCCACTTTCCACGAGGGGAGTGGACGAGGCGGGCCACGGTAATAAAGTTGTAGATCTACTTCAACGGGCACGAGTCATTCGTTTGGCGCTATCCCCAATGCGGTTAGCAAAATGGAGGGGGTGCATGTAGGTATGTGGTGATTTTCGCTAAGGCCAGGGTGGAAGTAGTTCGTGATTTTAGTGTATGCCTTATGCAGACGTACGTGCGTGCGTGCGTTTTCCGCTATCCGCGTTTGTTGAGAAGAAACAAGGCAAAATAATGAGGAGGTTATTGATAGCGCCAATGATAAAGTCCAACGAATATTTACATCATGCAAAACCTTGGAATTTGAAGGGAGCATACAAGAAATTTGCTCGAGTTGTCCGCATCTAGACTAAATGACATAATTTATCTTCTCTTCATTATTTCAAACATTCATTTCTCCCTCTGCAGTAGACTCAAAACACCAATGCACACTCATCTGTATCTATCAGTGTGAATACAGTCAAGTCGTCTCTACTTGCTTCGATCTTGATTATATTTCAACTGCCACTACCCATGTTTAGGGTTACCTTCCAAGTCTAGAAGAAAATCCGAAGAATGGAAATAATTCGAAAGTCTCCGTATGGAATAAAGAACTGCAAAGCAAGTGCTTTTTGGTTATAGCAATCTGTTAGCAAGAAGTCTAGAAGTGCAGGGAGAGCTAGAAAGAGGCTAGAACCTTCACCGAGTAGAAAGCGTTTGTTTTGCTAGTATTTAGTAGAGTTGCTACTCTGAAAAGCTACCATAGCTACATTACACTGCATTCAACCAGGCAAACTGGCAGTGCAGGTACGAAGTGCGCCACCATCTACAGAGTGTCTGATTGTATTGTACGTATATTTTGGCCAAGAAGAAACTTAAGCAAGAGTTTCGAGAATATTCTGCACCGTAGCTGGGTCGCCAGGCATGGGGGTAGAGGGAGTCCCCTCATGGTGTGAGAATTCGGTATACCATTTCTGGAATCCTACAGTAGCAAGATCTTTTGAATGATATGCGCCATCTCCGTGGTTGGGGATAGATGCCCAAAGAATATTGATCCTTGGAAATACAGATGATATACCAAGCAAGGTCTAGGTTATAGATCCTAGCTACCATGTACAGATCCGAAGTATCATACTCATATCATCTTGTACTCCGTAGTTATTCGGTGCTGTAAAAACCATTGCTACCCAATATCCACAGATGGTGAGTTGAACATAGGTTCCATCGGTAAAGGTGGATTCCGGTACATTTCCCTCAACCCCCATCCTCTCCTCTTTTGTTTTTCCGAACAAGCTTTGCCCCCGGAGGATGCCCCGGAAAATAATTCAACAATTCAATTCACAAGTCCGAATATTTTACAAATATTCAAAAATATCGGGCACTTGCCAGTTGATACTGCTGTCAGTCCTAATCCGATCTAGCTCCTTGCCAATTTCTTTCGCGTCGTACATTTTCCGAAGAGCGACAGGTGAAACACGCCGACACATGGTATGTCTATCTCTGCAGTCACTACTGGGGTAGTCATCTTGCTCTTTGTTAATAACATCTAAACTTGTTACCATTCACCGTTAATATGCATACCGCTAGGATTTGCTATCTCAATGTTGAATTTCTCTCAAATGTCCCCAAGAATGTTTCACGCTAATACCATAAGCCCCCAGCAAAGAACAATAACTGCAGCGCCTTGAAAAAAAGTTCGATTAAGCTCGTGAAAGGATACCGAGGCCTTGCAGGCATCTTTTGGTCTCATTGGTATTGAGATCCCTTTTCTTTCCACAGCAGTGATTCCTGGCAACAGATTAATTGCTCTAGATTGACGGGAATAAGACTTCGGCTCTTTTTATGTTCTCTTGTGATGGCAACATCGCAGCGGTGTCTTGAGATTGGGGCTCGAAATATGCTTAGAGGGCTCCCATGATATAGAGGGGGTAAAATTGTAAAGTTCAAACTCCACAAAGTAGTCAGTGGGTATATAGAACCATACAAGAACGGTCCGCTGAAGATTGTAACGAGATTTTTCTGTCGCATGAAATGGCTCACTAGAGCAAACGTCCCATATTGGTACACACATGTGTTGATTTCATGATGTGTTGATTTCATAATGTGTTTCTATTATGCTGCCCCAGAATTGAGTATCACCTGCTCAGTCATGCTCACAGCGAGATATGATATGATACTCGCCTCGCATTGCTGAGCCCAATCAAACCTGGCGACATACAAGCCGCCATGGCCGTAAATATTCCCATGTGATACTGAACTGACGGCCATATTTTCACCCCGTTCATCTTCGTAACCATAGTCTATTTGACAAGACGCGCGATTTCGACGGGATTAATCATCACCCTTTAAAGAAACTAATGAACCGGAAGAATGCCACATCGCTCGCTCTGCCGCAGCATTCTATTTCTCTTTAGTAATCTCACAACTTCTCTTGACAAAAACGATGCTATATCAAAATATCTGTAATCATGTTCGGCGACTTAATTTAGGTACACCATTAGCATCGCACCAGGAATTTTAGAAGATTTAACAAAGCAAACGAGAAGGAACGGTATTTCTACTGGTAATAAGGTGAAATTAGATCTTGTTACTGCAGCTGACTGGGCTAATAGTAGCCCAGTCGTCGGTACTAGCAACGGCGGCTGTGATGACATACCACTGTTACTACAAGATGAATTTCTAATCATTGAATTTACTGAGAATATAAGATGTGAGAGAAAACGAAAGGTAGAAGATAAAGTACTTGTTTAAGCCTGCGCTTCCCCCAACTGGATTCATTAATTCCATGGTTCGTCTAGATGAAAGGATGAGTTTCAAACAACAATAAATTCGCAATGTTCGCGGCAAATGAAGCTCTTAATCAAGACAAATTTTGAAGTTCAATCATTATGAAATACAATTTCTGATCGAGATTTGTAGACCACTGTAGAAATCAGTTGATTTAGTATAGGATCTTACTGAATAGAGCTTGTCTTGAATAGGAGAACATAGAACATGAACCTGCGTGTCAGATAGTCCGGATTGCAATCTCACAATAAGATGCTCATGCTCATCGAAATAACTTGAAACAGTGAATTCAGTCTGAACGTTGGATTAATTAAACCCAGGAATTGTTCAAATTGATCAAAGCATGCTCAGAGATTCAAAGCTCGAAAGGTTTCAAATTGGACTGTATTTCAGATTCTTGGATACAGTGCTGTTATGAACGAAATCAGAAGGCAGAATACATGAATGATGCAATGCGAGGGCAAAACAACAGCATGTCTGGCTTCAGACATCCGCAGCGGGAGCACTCTTTCACTACGAAGTCTGGGGATTTCATCTTTCCTCTATCCGAGAAAAGTTCACACTGAAAGATCTCGTATCGTCCTGCTCCATTCCTTCGACTCTCACGCACGATTTTTGTAACAGGTGCCATTTGATCCAGACACTTCCTTCTCGTTTGGCCTGTGATACTACCTTCAGTCTGTGCATGCACACTGGTTGATCTTGAGATTTATTTTCCAATTGAATCAACTATATTCAATTTCTCCTTCAGCATCCGCAATTTCCACCTCCCCTCCCCTCCCCTCTTTTCTCCCCCTGAGCTCCAGTGGCCATACCCTCTCATTGATACATAATACAACTTCTCTATAGAGGCAAAAGAAAACGCTTCGAGAGAGTACGTAACTTACAGAAACCTTTAGAGCATGGTGATTGGCGAGATCTTCCAATGTTCCGATCTTGAATTCGACAAATCCAATGGCCCTTATAGCATTTTTCATCCTTTAGATTTAGATGTAGCAATCGAACGGTACGTAGAAGTAAGTTGCACTTGAGGCAGATGATGCCATCAAACCTCATAATACATCTTTGAGTTTGAGGGTGGAGTATATGCCGTGGTTGTGTCGGCACATCTAGGTATATATGATAACGAATTATTACTCCATCCACTTGTGATTCTCATGTGGCCCGTAACAAATTTCAGCATTTCATTACAGATTTTAGAACCAGCTGGTTTCTGTCTTATACTTGAATGCTTTATATCGCTATCTCAGTCCAAAATTTGATCTTCAAAAAAGGTACACACTAAAACTTTAACTCCGACCCCACACCGCGCTTACACTAATAACAACTGAGAAAGTTCGGCTTCAAAAGAATATCCTTAAGCTGCAGCAATAGGTAGATACCTACCTATCACAACTCTTTTAATTCACCATTCAATTATTTTGATATTTGAAAAAACTTTCAATTCAATTCAAGTCTTCTTAAAGGTCACCTTTTCGCGCGCAAACTTCAAATATCCTTCCAGGAACCTCAAATAATTAGAGTCCGCACTACTTCCTGGCATTAAAGACCACCGGACGATTCTGCAGCTTGCAGCAAACACAACACATCTTATATTTAGGGATTAGGTCTATCACTCATCTTTGAACAATCAAACAAGCTGTACAAATACACGTCAAGGACTTCAGATACGCGCTCAAGGACCAACATCTACAACGAACGACATCTATAAGAATACAATACTTACGACACTTTCGCATTCCAACATGGCGACCGACATGGATATCGATATGGATATCGATGTTGGGATTATCGAGGAATTGCCCGTTCCAGATATGGTAGACATTGAGCTGATTGTAAGTACTTTCGACATTTGAATGTGCATGCGCCGGTGGAAGACACAAATGCCAGATCGGAGGCCCTGCTCGACGTGTCACTGAGACAACTTTTTCACCAGCATTGCACTAACTTATGTGTACAGCCGGATCAGCCTGCGGCACAAAACGAAACCTCGGCTCCAAATGATAACTCTGGTCCAGATGCAGAAAACCCTACACCAGAGAAAGTCCACATTCGCGGCTTGGACAATCTTACCACTCAGGATGTAAAGAACTTCGCGCAGCACTATTTCACCGAACACATTTCACGAGTAGAATGGATTGATGATTCTTCATTGAATTTAGTTTATGGAAGCAGCGGTATTGCTGAAGCAGCTCTTCGAAAGTTCTCTGCTCAAGAACTTCCGGAGGATGTTTCACAGCTTCCAGTCTTACAGTCATTTCCTGCCAACCCTTTCCCTGAAAATCCCAAAATCAGCTTACAAGTACGCATTGCCGTGGTCGGAGATCGTAAACAGAGAGGAGCCCGAGAAAGAAGTCGCTTCTACCTTTTCAATCCCGAACATGATCCTGCAGAGCGCAGAAAGCGCGAGGGTGGACGAAGATATCGGGACCGAGATGATGACGGGTATAGAAGTCGGAAATATGACGAACGGGAACAACGCAACCGGCAGCGTGGAGATGCGGAAGCAGGGTTCAATGCAAGTCTTTACGACGACGACGAAGCAGCTTTGGCAACTAGAGCTGCGAGAGGTCGTGGACGATCAGGATCTGGCTCGCCCACTAGCGATTTTAGGGAGCGATCTGGCAATCGACGAGGTTCCGGTTCACGAGAGTTGTTTCCAGATAGGAGTGGAAATGATGGAAGGTTGAGAGATCGAAGCGCATCGCCCATGAGGAATGAGGATAGAGCTAGAGATAACAACAGAAGACGTCGAGACACAGCTGCTGCAGAGAATAGGTCGAAAGCTAAGGATATTAAAGTTCGCCTCCGCAGAGAATCCGCTACAAAGGAACTCTTTCCGAGCAAATTAGGCACTACTCAACGAAAGTCCGGTGCTTTAGATGCTGCAGACGAAACAGCAGATTTATTCGCAAATAGAATGCCTGTCCCATTTCTTGATGGAAGCTCAGATATTCGACCTAGCAAACTCTCATTGGCAGAAAGGATTACATCAGAACAGCCACAGCAATCGCAAGGCTTTAGCATTCGTGGAACTGCAAAGCCTGCTTCTACTGGGTTCTCTATCAAAGGTTTAGCATCCGATAATTCAACCATGAAGGAACTATTTCCTTCTCGCTCAGGGAGTGGGAACACCGGGAAAGAGCTCTTCTCGGAGAGGTTAGTTGGAAGGGGTGCAAGAAGGCAGAAGGCCGAAGATTTATTTTATTAGGTTTAGGAGATCACGAAGCCATCCGTAGGCATCTAGTGATATTTTCTCTGCGGCTGACAGGATTGCACATAGCGTTGGGGTATCGATGCTTTAGCAAATGGAGTTATATGGGAATGGATATGGAAATGGAAATGGAAATGGAAAAGATACCATTATACTCTGCACATAGTAAGCAGCATTTCACAAGCAAGCCGAAGCTCGTAGTCTATTTATATTATTCAATAATCACCTCTCAAAGCTTCTTAGTTACATAATCACAGGTCAGTGAAATTGTGAACCGTTTTCCGACAATGACGGGACTTGCGATATTGCAGCCAAATTTCCTTTTGTTCAACTGATGAGTGCTATAAACTGAGTCAGTTCACCATCAACGACTTCCAAACTCCATTCACCTTTGAGACCAATGTAAATCATCTTCATAACTCGACAAATGCTGCCATACAGCGAACTCAGAACGAGATATTATTGGCGCCAGTATCGAAAATTCTCGACGTCTTACTTTTGTTGGTACGGCCGTCAATGGTTTGCTCCTTCTCTTTTCAGTTATATAATGCCTTCTAATTATTACCACCACATCAATTCAATCAGACTTCCCAAAAATCGAACCATTTTATGAATCATCTCCATCTCCATCTCCAGTGAATCTCAACATCCAAAATGGATCAATGGCTCCGGCCCGTCTTCGCAAGGACTCGAACGCCAGTTCAATCCGCCACAAGCAATCATTCTGATGAACCTCACGAAACCGAAGATACCATGAAATCCATCCGTCCTAGTTCGCGCGTATCCTCCTATATCGGGTTTCGCTCATCAACTTCGAATCTTCATGCACCTGCAGGTGATACATTTACCTTTCAACATGTCAATATTCCCGAAAATGTATATCATAAACCATCTGGAAGTCAGATGGCCGAAACACTTAAAGTGATTATGATGACGAGGAATTTAATGGAGCCGATACCGGTGGAGTATAATACGTGTATTTTACATGTTTTGGAGGCGTATAATGATCTACAGGAGATGTTGGCTGTGAAGGAGGGGGAGATTGAGGAGATTAACGGAAGGCATACAAAGAATATTAGGGAGTTTGATGGTATGGCTGAACAGTAAGTTATATTTGAATGTAGACAAACATCTAGTGTAGGAAGTGCTAATTATGCGTGTAATTTTAGGTGGAAGGCGAAAGAAAAAGATTATCAAAAAGAAATAAAGAATCTTGAAGTCCTTCTCTCCAAGACCGAGGGAGGAATGGAGAATGTTACAATGGCGCGCTCAAAAAGTGTTGTTCATGGGACTAGAAGAGCTGCAGATTTATTCGAAGACGGTATGGAGAAAATAAAGCAAAATTTCGCGCGCTATAGTTCTGGGAGAGGTTGGTTGCTCATCTTATATTCTGATTTTACAATATCTAACTTTACTAGATTCTTCTACTGCCACAACTGACTGGGATCTTGATCGCGTACAACAAATTAATTCATCACGTCCACTAGAGACCCCTACAAATGCAAGTGAGCTCTCTCATGGGGAAGGAGATATACACCACAAAAGAACGGTCAAATCTCGACGCAAGGAAAGTTCTTCTGTCCAAGATACCGAGAGTTTTCACTCAGCAGTGGACGATCAGTCCACTCGCTTAACATCCGTACAACTAGATGCACTAGAAAGACAACATGCTACCGAAGAACTCGGTGTAGTATTTAACTCATCATCGGAATCAGATGACACCAGTTCCCGCTCTGCTTTCACCGAAGGTCAAGCTCCCACTCCCACTCGCACTCCCAAAATCTCTGGTTTTCGAAATGGTAGTAAAGAGAAACCTCTACCCGATA